GCTAACCAACTGCGCTACTCAGGCGTCGAATCCAGGATATACCCAAAAGACAAAGTGCAACGTTCTGTGAAGCATTCTCAATCTTATTCCACTCTGCAGCTCGTAATTGAGAAATATAACATTTTGAATGTGTGCATTCATTATTCAAATGCAGCTGTCGATATGGCATTAGTGGTAGAACACTGATCACTAACCTGTGGTCAGCTTGAATATTTTCACAAAATTCATTTATTATTTGCTAATTTCAGCAATACGTTTGTTTCCTATGTATGACGTCTTTCATGCATTCGTATCCATCTGATAAAAAATTAAATATCGGAACAGAACAAAGATTTTCAAGCTGAATTTAAGAGGAAAAGGAAGAACATCTAAGCTTTCAAACTGAATTTTTAGGCTCTATGCTTTCGTCAAATGGCAAGTTTGTACTAAAGTATTTGATCAAAGCGGAGGATGAACTGATTTCTGATCGTTATTTTCTCTGCTAAAAACTGAGCTGAAATGTTTGATCATTTTATAGATTCTCCCACTATCAAACGCCTAATTCGAATGCATTAAATAAGTATTGTTTCAACTGTTCAGTATGTGTGCACGTTCACATGTTTTCCAATCTCTTGGAGCAGCACAGCAACACGAGTTTATCAACAGAGATTCATCTTGAGTTGTTGATAGGAGTCAATATTTTCAACATGAGTTAACTGTTTACATCACACGTCAAAATGTCTGATCATTACCATTCTTGTTTGCAATGTTAATCAATCAACGGAAAACATTAGCCAGTTCATCGATTTTTCGTATGCATTACACGTATTACACAACATTACTGAGTTTACTTTGATTTCTTCATGTCTCTGTGACTGAATATCGACATATGTTCGAACAAGTTTCCATACTGTCCAGCAATAACATAAAACCTGTTATGTATTCTTCATAAAAGGCAATTTTAACAACTGTATTTCAATAAATTCCATTCACTCCGTGATGAACTGCTTGTAGTATTTCTTTTTTCGTGCATCTTTTAATTCGCTCGTTCATACTCATGAAACAATCTTTCTTCATGTTCATTGATCCTTTTTTCATGAATTATAATCTTTGTCAGCTCTCTTCAAAACAGTTTGCAAACAAAATGACTGATTGAACATTTTGCGAATGTGGTACAAATTTTTTTGCATTCTTTAAATAATTGCCAACTCCGAGTAATTGGCTCTTATTGATTCTTACCTTCAATTTATCCACCTCCCAATGAGAATACAACAGGTCATCATCGCGACCACAGACTGTTCCTCGAACTCAATTCCAGTTAAAGAACAGACACTAGCAATTTAGTCTGTATAACATATTTTTGACCATGATATAACAGAAATTAATTTTAATTCTTACTACAGAATCGTCCCAAAATCGTGACGTAAAGAGGATGTTACCAGCAATAGGTGTTCGATGTTTTCGTTGTGCCGCTCTCCTATCATCAAATACAGTCAGATGTGAATTGATCAGTATTGAAACACCATTTCATGCCTATCAGGCCAAACGTTATCACCATCTACCAATAAACAGTTTGTTTCAAATACCTTCTATTGTCTTATTTGACATCATCAATATTCTTTTGAATGCTCGTGCCGTAAACGAGAAAATAGTTGGAAAATTACTATTCTGATTCGAAATGCTGCTGAGGAAAAATTCTGCTAGATTACTTTAGTTGTAATGAATTGATTCAAACGAACGTAATGAATCAAGAAGGTGTATGTGAACGAATATGATAAGGAGCAATGTCTTCTTCTCGCTCTGACCCTTTTCAACGCAATCTTTTGACATTTCAAGTTCCTTTGAACGAGTTCACATCAATTTTCGGTTCAGTTCGAAGCGTTTTTTCAATTCCAATTTTTTTGAAAATTCAAAATTTGAGCGATCTCAAAACATTGGCCACTGCAAAGTGCGAATGCCAATATTTATTATTCAAAATCCTAACTTCGATTTTTATCAGTTATTTCATAAAACAGTGTGGTCTCTAGACACTCTCTAAACGTTAAAATACACTGATGAACTGGTCATTTTGTATCAAAAAAATAATTTTTTAAATGGTGGAACTGAAACCAAAGATATTGATTTGAATGAATGTTGAAATGAATTACTATATTAGTTCTATCACTTTGCCCAATTGATAACAACTCAAAATTTTCGCCGTGTGTTTGTTCAAGTGATAATCTGGGTCACATGCAGTACAGATTAGCGTTTCAATTCGTTCGTTCTAAATTTCCACCCTTCGTGCACGTAAATGAATGCACTTGTTAGAGTGCATATAAGGAGGCACTGCTGATGTAGTCAATGAGCAGCTCATCAAATTGCAAGCAGTCCGACAAATTAGTAAAAAGCAGGCGATTCTGGGCTTTTTTTNTTTTTTTATATAAATCCGAATGTACTCAACGATATTCGAGAGTTGGGTTTTATAAATCAGCCATTTCACAACACTACCAAACGTGAGAAAACCGCATGCTGCTTATCAACCTCCCATGTGTTTGCATATCAACTTTGTATCCACTGAGGAATCGCTCAGTTGTTTAACTCCCCATTTTTGCGTGATGTTAGCTGCGATTATGGGAATGATAATGTTAACAACAATTTCCTCACACATTTGGTTATTATAACAAGACATCTTTCAAATTTTCTCTTACCGAAATTTTACCAAATTTGATGTCCCTAATTGAATTACTAATCGTAAGCACTTTTTGGCGCTTTCTCGCTTGATCGTCAATACTCGTAATATGCTGCTGCGAATTGTGATGGGAACTGTCGTTCTTCTTTAAGTCTATTGTCCTCATAAGATTCGATCCATAAACAGGAACTCCATTAGGCACACAAATTATTAAATATGTGCGGCACAATACCCTGGGCAATATAGAAGAGTAGCCCAAAACCTCTGTGCTCGCCAAATCAATCATCGAAGTTGGAATTCCTTGAAGACAGATGATTCCCAGCGCTGTTATTGTTAGGGAAGAATGGGGAAAGGAGGATGTCAAGGAAGGAAGAATGTGGTATTGGTGACAACAGGAAACAGGGAAAAATAAGCTCGTGATGAGTTGTAATTGCTGATTATATCAACAGATCAACGATACAATACTGTGAATGTGATTGTCCGTAATTGTTCAAAAAATCATTCAACCAAATGTTCCTCGGGTTTAGTGCAAACCAAATAAAAACAATCAAAAATTAAAGGATCGTCCCCAAAGGCAACGAGTCGATCGTGGGTGATTGGTTTAAGTGGTGGGGTGATAACAGCTGCATTATATCTCAAGTACAAGCATGCACAAACGGCTTTTTGTGAATCTGTGAATGAGAACGAAACAACTAAGGATGACGTTTACAAAGTTCCAAAACGAACAGATTTACCAACCTATCGTCTTGAGGAAGTGAAGAAACATGGCAAAGATGCAGAACAAATTTGGGTTACCTATCAAACGGTTTGTTTCTGATGTCATTCTCGCTTTGACTGATTCCTTCATTCTACTTGATTTGTAAATTTTCAGTTTCTAAACATAATATAAGTTCTTTCATTGTTTTTCACTGATGACAAGGTTTTGCTGAGAATTGTAAACTGATGACAAAATGTTTGGATGTTCTACATCTTGCTATTCGAATATGCTATTATAAACCGAAATGCAAAAAGACAGGAAATATGTTTGCAATATTTGCTGGTTGATTTTTCTTGGTAAGATTCGGATTGCGAGCTAAGACCAGCTAAATGAAAATGGTCTCAGAATGAGGAAGTTAGAAAAATGACAACGGATAATGAAAACGTGCTTTGAATGAATGAAGTTGAGGTAGGGTTCAGATTAATTATCATTTATTATCAGGGTGTCTATGATATAACTGACTTTGTGGAAGGGCATCCGGGCGGCGATAAGATTTTGATGGCAGCTGGAGGTGCGATCGATCCATATTGGGCGATTTACGATGTACATAAAAGTGAATCTATTTTTGAAATGATGGAGGAGATGCGAGTTGGTAACCTGGATCCGCGAGATTTTGTTGTTGAAGAAATAAAGGTTGGATCGTTATGGTGGCCATTATTTCTTGTGTGAACAGTAATCAGTAAACAATTGCTCTTTGTCGTTGACCGGGTCGTTTTATATGAAGTCATAGCATTTATTCTTTTAATTTGCACTTTCGTTGAATTTTTCATTATATTTCTGCTTTTTTAAACATTAAAATATTATTGATCACATAGGTAAATTTACCATTGAATAGATATCCGTTCAATTGCATGCAGTTAACTGAATGATTTATTATAGGCTGAAAACGATCCGTATCGAAATGATCCGAAAAGACATCCAGCTTTATTGGTCAATTCTCAAAGACCTTTTAATGCTGAAACACCAGCTGGATTGTTACTGGATTCATTCAATACACCGAATCAGTTATTTTTTGTCCGAAGTCACATGCCTGTTCCAATAGTACTCCCATTTACTTATTTAACATTTGCTTGATTCTTTTGAACCTNAGTGAGATTTCTCGGAGTGTTCTCTGAGGGCTCGCATTAATTTTCGAATATAAGATGAGAATAACTTATATATAGCACTCTTCGTGTAGAACTGAGCATGTTGCTAGAGAATGCAGATTTGATATGTTCAGTCACCGTGTAACTTAATAACTGAAAAACGGACCAAATTTACCTCAAGTTCCATTTTGTTGCATGTGGATTGATGTTAAAGTAAAGATGCTCAAAAAGTGATTGTAATGAATAAATGTTAAAACATTTCAGACTGATGTGAAGACGCATAAAGTGAGAGTGGACGGTCTTGGAGTGACAAAGCCGATCGTATTGACTGTGGATGATTTGAAGCGCAAGTTCAAGCCTATTTCTATATCAGCAACGCTTCAGTGCGCTGGTAATCGTCGTATTCACATGTCCCAATATAAAAAGGTTGAATATCTGTGCAGTCATTTTCATTTTTGTTTTGATTGCTTCGAATGATTACTTTTTTGCTATACACCTTCCACTGCTCAGTTCAAATGATCCATCGCTTTTTTCAACTCCTTCGTTGGTTTTTCAACGAAGATGTCCTGTTCAAATTTGATGCCAATTTTGTTTGAAGGCGTCTTTATTAAGTTGAATACACATGATTGCAGTGTATGACTGTTAAATGATGGCGTGCGTTTCTGTTTGAAATGATCGAAGAATTATGAATTTTTGTTCATCATTCATTCGAAATTCTAGTGTTGATCGAGCGTTGCTTGTATTGACAGCATTCGAGCACTATCTTTTTCAAGTAAATTAACTATGTATCAATCTTTGCAACTCTAGGTTCAAGGTTTAGACTGGAAAGGACAAGCGATCGGCAATGCAAAATGGACTGGTGTTAGGTTGCGGGTAAATTGTTCAATGGGTCTTTGCTTTTTCATTACAGTATGAGACAAATTTTCTGAAATTTCCCAGCCGCTCGTTTCTTTCCATCAATTATTCCACTTTACAAATTCTCCATATCTGAAAATTTCTTAATCTGAAAATACTATTGATTCAAGTATTTATGATTTCCATCTCACTCACCTATAGAATCATTGCATTCGAGAAGCTTCTAGTTTTTCAATTTCCAGGAGGATTACTTCAGTAACAGATTGTTCTCTTATTCAGGATATACTCATATCGGCTGGCGTAGATCCAAATGATAAAAGATTAAAACATGTCCAATTCAGTGGCGCAGACAATGACGGCGAAGGTGAGGTCAAGGATCGTGACATTTACGTCGGCTGAAAATATTATAAATTTATATTGGTCTGATATTAGATTTCTTACGGATTCAGCGTTATCATAAGAGCGGTTTGTTGATCCACTTAAGGGCATTATTACGGTACATCGATAACGTTCACGAAAGCGATGGATGAAGATACGATAATTGCGTATCAAATGAATGATGAAGATATACCTCGAGATCACGGCTATCCTCTACGAGTTATTGCTCCAGGTTCATTCCGTCCACTTCTCTTTTGAACAATTCACTGACTGATATCCATCTCTTCTTAATTTACGATTCATTTTCGTACTGAATATAGCTTTGAACATCTGATGAATCTCCTCATGGATTTTGAAATTTTGATTATTTGCAAGCATTGATCATCCTCTGTTATATATGTCCCATTGTGATCACGCAGCATTCCTTAAAATTCATTTGTTAACATCGAAATATCTTGAAATAGAACCCAAAAATTCATTCAGTTTTGCAATTGTGATTCAACAATTGATCGTGTCATCGCTTTAATCTGCGCCTATGGCGATAAACAATGTCGTTTGAGTTAAGGAATTGTTGGTGCTCGAAATGTGAAGTGGTTAACGGGTATACACGTCAGCGCCGAGGAAAGTGAGACGCAGTGGCAGAAAAGGGATTATAGGTTCGTGTTTTCCAGTTGCCTATTATCAGTATTCCTATCGCATCATTCACGAGTGTTTACAACTGCAGTGAACGATTGCTTATAATTGTTATTGGTTCAGTTTTCCATAAGCAAGAAATTACAGAGCGTTGCCACCAACGATTGGCCAAAGTGATCCGCAAGACTTCAGTCTGGTTCCTGCTATTCAAGAATATCCTGTGCAGTGTGCCTTCTGTAGGCCAGTCGTTGACACAAAAGTCAATCGATGTGAGCCTTTCTTCAATAACATATGGGAAATTCCTCTGCAATCATAGGATCCATTTGATCAATTCATTTTGGTTCATCTCATTTTCGACCCATCATTTTTGTCGCATTTTTTGAGTCAATTCAGTTTAAGAATCCTCTTGATAGTAGAAATCTTAATTTTATTCCTAGCAGCCACTCTTCTTAACGCATTGTTGAGGTTAAATGCTTGTTCACTTGAATGAATAATAATAATACAATTTGGCATATGAAATACCCAAAATCTTCATGTTCTGACGTCGAAAGGTCTTTCGGTGTTATTAAATTCTGAATGAATCAATTTTCGAGGTTCCACTTTCAGCTGACGGAGAGATAGAAGTAGCTGGATATGCTTGGAGTGGTGGTGGACGAGCAATCATCGAAGTGCTCGTATCACCTGATGGTGGAAAGAATTGGCAGTTAGCTGAACTGATTCGTAATGATGAACAAGACCTGGTCAGTGGCAAATCTTCAAATCTAGCTTAACTGATTTCGTAATTAACCAAAACCTATGCAATGTAGAAATGCGTTCAAAATAATTTAGTTGAGCAAAAGGCATCATTACTTGCAAATCGTCCTTAAAAAAAGAAATGAATGGGATGATTGACCAAAATAATGCGCAGGCAAAACCTTAATAGGTGCTCTTCTAGTTNAACTGTCACCTCTCGCATTTTGAGCAAAAATTTTTCCTCCAAGTCCAAGATCTCTCATTTGAAGGTCACTGTCTGCATCCATTGATTACATCGCATCTCTCATTTGTTGTATTTTGTCCCATTCCCTCTCTTACCTATGTGATATTGCCTTTTCATTACGTGTCTACCTAGGTGCAGCATTTCCTATGAAGAATCCATTACTTACAGTTAGCTTCTATGATGAATTCATTACTTTTTCCTATGACGACTCCATTACTTTTTCCACTTTTATTCAGCCGCACCTCCCCACCACACTCACAAGCTAGAACAGCATTAACACCGTGCATCGAACCAAGTGATGCGAACCATTCCTCGAATTCACCATCGTCCATGGAAATCTTAGACACAACGTCACAAAACCTAAACCCACGAAGCACATGCACATCGTCAAACAACAAACTGATTATTCTAGGGTTTCTGATAACTTTGAATTGTAAGTCGTGAAAGCGATCTGCGATGGTAGGGTTCAGGTTTTGTATTAAGAAACATGAAAACAAACTCTGGGGTCACAATTGTAATGCGTGACCTCTCCGAACATTATGCTTACGTGGATTACTGTTATCCTTGAAATTTAGGTGAATGAAGCATTGTGATCATTTGTAATCGTATTGAGACATTCATTATGATCACTTACAATTCTGTTGCATTGTATAGTGTTCATAGTGTCTTGAATTTGTCGTGCTCTCTGCTTCTCCATCCTCTTCATTGATGGAAACCTCTCAATCGTTAGACGGATATGGTGAGCGATACATGCGATGTTTGTAATGAAAGTAGAGAGAAAGGTGATGTGAGAGAGCCTTCTCTTTCGGACTTACAATTAGAAAAATTTTTGCTCAAAATGCGACAGGTGACAGTTAAACTAGAAGAGTACCCCTCAATATTACAAGACGTTTCGGCGTTAGAATGCCATCTTCAGTTAGAATATAAGGATATTATGTTCAGTGCATGATGGTAGCTTTCTGACATCGAAACATCTTATGGTGTTACTGCATTACCTGTGCATTATTTCGGTCAGTCATTCATTTAGTCCATTGATTACTGTTTACTGTATCGTTCCACTTTATTATTGTCTTACTGGTTAGTCAAAGATAGCTGTTGCACCACAACGCACATTCACCTGCCAAAAAAGTGATTATTCAATCGCTGTTCGCTGAGTTATCTGTTATATGTTACCAACTCAATTTATTAAGGATCGTACGTGGTCGTGGACATTTTTCAAGGCAACGGTGAAAATACCGAAAAATGTGAAATCATTGGATCTTGTTTGTAAAGCAACTGATCGTTCTTATAATACTCAACCTGAAACAGCATCTGGAATATGGAACGTTCGAGGATTGCTTCATAATGCTTGGCACCATATAAATGTTGATATTATTGATGATTGATTATCGTCTGTAATCAAAATACTGTTTATATGCATGCATTGTATCCAAACCGCCTTCAGCTCAGATTGCTGGATTCACTCTGATCGCATTTGATAACATCATCTTGTGCTAACTAGTTTGAGTGAGTAAATATGAGCAGTGTACAAATTTTCAGTCTTCTTGAGGTGTACACTTCATTTTTGAATCTATACGTATAAATTCAGTTTTGTGATTTAACGAGCTGTACATTTAAGTTCATTGCATTTTTTGCTCCGTTTAATTTTCGCACAAATATTAGCGATATTTTCTATTGGTTCAGTTACATTACGTTTGAAATGGAGTGATCTAACTGCGAACATCTGGAATTAATTTGTTTAATACGAGTTAGCTTGCGTATTCTTTTGAATTTATTATTTAGAGTTCATTTGTGGTCGATTGGTAAAACTTTCGTTTTTAAAAGTTTTGCCGCGGCGATTCTGCTTCTTCATCTGGAAACTTTTGAGTCTCTCATTCGTATGCTATAAGTGTATGCCATATTAAGTGTTCGTAAATGTAAATTTTATGTTTAATTAGTTTCACGTGAATGTTTGTAGGCCATGTCTTAAATTCTCACATAGAAATTATGCTTTATAACTGCTTGTTTATTTGTTATTTGAAGTTTACTGAATAAAAAGAAACCGCATTTTTCATTTCCAGTTTCTTTCGATCAGTACAAAATGTAACAACAATATAACTCCATAAGTGATTGTGTCTTATAACTGTCTTATTTATAACCTGATAAGGAGAGTCGCTCAGCTGGTAACAAGGAATCAAAATATAGGCGGTATGGTCCAACAGCTACAACTCATCACGAGTTTATGTCTTTCTGTTATCACTATTATCACGTTATTCCTTCCTTGAGCAATTAACGATACCAGGCTTGGAATCATCAGTCTTAATGGAATTCAAACTTCAATTATTAATTTGGCGAGCATAATGGTTATGTACTCCTCTCCCATATGATCCAATGCTTTCTAGGGAGACGGATTCAAAATGAGCCTGAAAATTCGCTCCGTCTGATCGATTGAACATGTGTCCAATAATTCTCAGAGTAGATGTTTGAAATAATCGACAATTATAAGCCAATGATCTTTTGGGATCAATGATAAACAACGATTTTCATCAAAGTAAGTGAATAGATGCATAGCGATCATTATGTTAAATATTCCACAACCAAACCATAATGAAAGTCTGTTACCATAAATATTTTGCATAATCAAAAATAACCGAATACCGATCCAGTTAATACTGTCACAACGATAAACATTTTGCTGATCGCCCAGAGTGATCAGTAACATTGCTCAGTAAGAGTGCATGCTGTGAGTTCTGATGCAAGCTGATACTGTTATACAATACTTTAATTGCAGTTGATATTTGCCTTTGTTTGAAACAAACGTGAGTCATGAACTGTCAAAGACACCGTTACTTGCTATATTTATTTCATCGATTCGTTTAAATTGTAAATTGGCTTTTAAATGGCGAATTTCGAACGATTGCAAAGCTTGATTTTTGTATTATTAATTCTTTTTGTTGAGGATGAGATCGCTGCACTGAA